TAATTATACAAAATTTCTATGCAAATTATAAAATCATCAAATAATTTTTTCTTTAACTGAATACAACTTTCACAACCTCCTTTTTACTTCTAGAAACATAATACGACGATGATGGTACACGCAGTGAGAGTGACTTGAGAATAAATTAAAAAGATCTTTGTTAATGCATTTATATAAATGTAAAGTAAATGGATATTATAACTATTAAACGATAATTTAATTCAAATTTATGTGCTCTAAAATAATAAAAAAAAAATTAAAACAGAATAAATAAATTACGAATAATAATAAATAATTCATCTATCAGCTCTAATTACATCTCAAAATGATAAACAATTATCCATTAATTCACTATATATTTAATTACTCCCCTAAATGGAGGACACATTCATTTATCTACTTCTAAATGGCATTTTTGCTCTATATTTCAATAAAGTTGAATAACATTTATTAAAAGATTTACGCTTGAAAATTTTTTTCTTCTTGAGGTTAAAGATTCTAAAAGGCAGACAAGAAAATTATATCTTCTCTGTAATTATATGTTACACAGCATAAAAATAAAAGAAAGGACTGATATAATATGATGTTGAAATTGAACAAAAAAATATTTTATAATCCATCAGATGTATTATTATTTAATAATTTTGAAATAAAATCCATTAATGCCCTTATAGAGCTTTTATATCTTTAGTAAGATGGAATAAATCTTCCTTGATCTTCAATCGGTTTGTCTGCTTATGTGAATAAATATATCACTGCACAGAAGTGCATTTTATAAACGCATGGACAGAATCTCTACTCCAATAGCAGTGTATATTATATCTTGCGCAAGATAGCTTCTACAAAATGGACATGAAATTCTTTGGCTGTGTAAATTCTCATAGTACGTCGTCAACTTTCTTCCCATTTTAGAAAATTTTTCAGGTTATTACATTTTTATTGCATCCTTTTTTTACGTAATTACATTGACCATTTCCAATGATTATTTTAACTGGAATATTTTTTTTTTACTGAAAAAAAAGAGAAAAATTGATAGAACACTTTTTTATTTAGTCAGAGTGATTTGACTTTTTCAATGGTCAATTGATATGTTTTCAGGCACTTTAAAATTGATGGAATTTCAAACAAAATCTGTTAAATTGTTTTGACTTATTTATCGAAAACTATAAAAAAAATTCCAAGTGCAAAAAGTCTCGAGGGATAAATGACTTGCAACTTGTTTATTCATAGTTTTCTCGCAACATTTTTTCTTTTATTCGGTATCGACCATTTGACTTCCTGGTAAACGAGCTGTTTTAAATAAGTAATGTATTGCTAACCTGTTGCTGCTAGAGAGGGTAAAGCATTGACGAAAGAGGCTTTGGGTGATTTGTCAGTAGAGTCACAAGAGAATTGAACGAAAACAGAAAAATAAAAGAAGATTAAAGAGAGCAGAAAAAAATTTAATTTTAAATATATATATATATATATATATTCCTTCCTAAAACACACCAACTCTCTTTTCCCATACTCTATCTATCATTCACAACTGATAAATCATTTGAAATCACTTAAACAAATATAAAAAAAAAAAGAATTTACAAAATGTTTCTTAAATAAAATAATTACTGTTATTAAAGAGACATTGAATGTGAAACAATTATGGTGAAATTTATTCAATGACAAGTGGTAATAATAACAAAAAAAGTAACATAGATGAAATTAAAATAAAAAATTTATCAGTAAAATCATTATTATTGCCCACGATTACTTGTTATTATTGGTTGCGGATTATTCCCATGCGTGACGCGATTTAATATCGATGTGCGCATAATCATCGTCACGCGCGGATAAATACGAATTAGCGAGTAGCACTTTATATACGTAAATACACTCAGATTGGTACATATGGATATATAAATTCATAAATCCTGGTACGTTTGCATAAATCGCATTGCTATATACGATTGCGTTCATCCTTGTTGTACAAATGTACAAATACATTTTATACATATATATATACATATTAGATAAATACTTTTTTTAAACTATAAAGGGAGTTAGCAATGAGAGGGAGAGAGTAAACAGACGAGCACGAAAAGAGAGAAAATTTACTGAGTGAGTAGGATGTGTATCTCCAATACTCGAGTATATAATTTTTGCTTTTTATTACTAGCGCTTTCCACGAAAATCGCCAATGCCTATTAAAAACCTTGTCATTAACGTTATTAACAACATTTCTGTCGCTTTGTGCCGAAGCAAGAGGGTGAGAATACCGACTGATGTATCGACCTATCCTCTGATGAGTTATTAATTAATTTTCCCGTCATAAACTCATGATGCACTATACAACAAAGTCGCGGAGAAGCTCCCGATGAATCAATGCGCCATTCCTTGTTTTAATCCCTAAATGTCTCGCAAGGCAAGTGAGTTTTACGATCAACTTATTAAATATTAATGAATTTTTGTGTAGCATATTTTATTATATATTTTAAAATAATGTTCATCATGTCTGTAGTTTGTTTCGAAATCAATTTTTTTTATACTTAGAATTAGATTTATATCGGAAGGTAAACAAGTCAGAGGATGAACATTCACTAATTCATGAATAAATTATTTTTCAATTTAAATGAAACATTTTTTACGATTTTTTTTTTCCATTATTATTTCGAAATTGTATTGATTATTGATGTTGATAAATAAATATTTATTTTCATGCTTGCACATAAACTATTTTTAATCTATTAATTATTTATAATCATTTTTAGAATAAAGAACATTTAAAATAAACCCACAATTTTAAACTTTGATTTAAATTATTGTTATTGTATGATAATTTGTTTGAGTCAATGGTAAAATCATTGGAATCTAAGACTTATTTATTCAATCAGCCAATCATTCCGTTACATTCCTCGAGTTAAGTAAAGTTAGTTACGACTGAATAGAAAAAAAGGGTGTAGGAGTTACTGACCTACACTCTCTTGGCAATAGATTGGAGAGCATTATTGTAATCTAACCATGAACATGACTGGTGTTGTTTTTACATTAATTGCATGAATATTCTAATGAATATTAAACCAGACAAAATCGTCCCACTAACCAACCCTGACCTAAGCAATTTTCAAAACGACCTATTTATATATATGGACTAATTATACCGATTGTGGTTACAGTTCAATTGATTCTGGTGTTATTAATACAATCAAAGAAATTTTTACTATTCCTGTTCGTTATTAACATTATAACTATTGCAACGATTTCCATGAAAATACAATAGAGTACTTTCATTCAGTTTATTTCCCCTCAAAGAATAATTTATACGAAATGTAATATTTTTCCACTGATAAATATTGCATGTTTAACACGTCAATGTATATTCCATTGTCTGTTTTTCACCTACACTTTCAGGTCAATTGCAGTGTATTATTTTTTACTGTGTATCTAAATAAGTATTTTAATTGTAAAGTATTTTTATTATTACCAGAGAACTAATTATATAGATAGCCTTTCATTCATTGAGGTACAATTGATAACATTCTTCACTTATGTCTATGTACAAACGTCATGTTTTTTTCTTCCTCTTTATACTTTGAAACGTTTAATGATAATTATATATACGAATGGAAAACGTTACGATTTCACAGCGACAGCTTCAGGCGATGGACGATGAAATTTCAGACGATCTGAATGGGGATACGCAAGAGAACAAGAGGATGGGGACGAAAATAACAGAATGAAACGAAGCAAGAATTGTTGAAATGACGAAGGAAATACGAAGCTTCGTTAAATAATTAATCGATTCGATGCGCCGCCAGCTTAAAGCTTCTCTTTACCGGAATTTCCTGAGATGAAGTGATGAACTACAAGTTTTATGTTGCTTCTCTGACAACGTCCGAAAGTCTTATTCTATTCATCTTTATCATTTTGGGTCGAGCTGATGATAAATTTAATGTGTATTCGGTTTCTTAGCAATTTTCATCTTGATGAGAATTCGATTTTGCTATTGTTTCCAATTTTTTTCCTCTCTTAAGATACAATCTAACAGCAGTAATTTATTTAAATTCTTCTTCGAGAGTTAAAACCGCTTGAATGGGGACTAGAATTTTCTATGACATTATTCCGAGTCATTTTAGACGATCGAATTATTTAAATGATTAAAATATGTCAAATAGACTTAATGTCTGGGTTAACTAGTTTTTGATAAAAATTTCAATATTTATGACGATGAGAAAAATTATGAATTTTATGTCTTTTAGAATTCAGTAGAGCATAAATTAGCTCCTGTAAATTGAAGGGTTTCAGGAAACATTTCACAATAGAATACTTGGGATGTTCTACATGTAAAGTAGCATATGTAGTACATTTAGTACGTTTTACATTGAAAATATCCAAGCGTTCTACTTTCAAATGCTTCTTAAATTCCACAGATTGTAGGAATGAAGCGTGTGTTCGACTAAAATTGATTTATACTACTGTCAAAAAAATATTGCTTGACATTTTACAAATAATTTTTCCTGCACAATATTTTTTTTAAATATTATTTAAAATATTTAAAAATGAACAATTTAATAATGAGTAAAATAAAATTAATTTCAGTAAGAAATAAAATAATTTGTCTTACTTCAACACTTCCCATGCATAAATATCTCATTAAACTATCTAGTAAGCATGCAAGGAATTTTTTTTAATAAGTAGAATATCATGAATACATGAAAGTTACTCAAGTATAACATCTAGATAATCTTTGCTCTAATGACACACCAAATAGCTATTCGAGTGATCAAATATCAGATTCACGTATTAATTCCTTATAGTCTTTTCCCACGTGCTGTCAAACAGGCCGTAGGTAATAATTTGCCACACCCCGTAACTATATCAATACTCTATCTTTTATATACTAATAAATAACAGTTTAGGATTTATAATCTATATTTATTATAATTATAATATTGCTCTTTATATTAATCATTAATTATATAAAATATAAATAAGTATTGTTTAATTAATATTATAATTCTTAGGTGGCGTTGCTGAAGCAGAAACTGGTAAGGAAAGCAACAAAGTGTTAAAGAGAGCTAAATCATTGGATTTAACAGAGGATTATTATTACGACGATGTTGATGAGAGAAATAATCCTACGAATGAAGCGCCTGTTATACCACCAGGATTTCTTAGTCCGTCTGTTAGAGAGTATCTTGATCTTGGTAAATCGATACCAGGTAAGTAAATAAAATTATCTCAATTACTTTATTTAATATCTTGTAAAATTATTTTTGTGTTTATCACTTAAATACGACTGTACAAAAGTCATGCAAAAAAAAAAACATCAGAATATTTTGATTTAATTAAATAAATTAATAATTGTTTCGATTTTTATTTATACAAAAATGTATTCTATTATTTAAAGTAAATCTTTTTTTTTAATTTCTCTGAAATTAAAACTTCAAATAGTTTATGGCAAAAGTATAAATTATATATTTTAATAACAAAACTGATTAAACAAAAAAGTTATGACATTTTCTCTACTCTCGAATCAGGCTATATCACTCAAATTAAACTCCTGCAGGAAATAAAAGTTAGTTTGAATATTTTTCATATAATTTTTACTTCTTTATTCATAAAAACTTATTTTATTATTATTATTTTTATTGAGAAAAAAAGAAAGAATGAAATATTATATGATATATTTTCTAATAAGAATAAACCAACAAAGATTGGCAATGGAATTTGATATATCTGGTGAACATTCGAATTTGATTTATGAATATACTGTAGTCGAAGTGACATTGATACATGTAAATTTGTCTAGTTAAAAAATAAAAATTTACAGCAAATTGTTTTTTACATTTCACCATGGTGTTTTGGTTCAGCTCATTTTATTTTCTTCTTTCGAGTTTGAGCTTGATTCGCAATATTTTTTCGTGTGAAAACGCAACTAAAGCGTTAACAAAAGAGTGAAATTTTCACTACGAGTCGAAACCTAAAAACTGTCGTCTTTCTCTTTTATTCGTATTATTACTGTCTCGTTCATCCTCACACCCAATAACATTCGGAAGCTTGCGACTCTGCGGTAACCACTACGAACACAAATGAAACAGAGAGGGAACAAGAGAATCAGAGGAAGATGGGGTGAGTCAACGATTTAGCTGGATGGTAGCGGTTGCCCGTGGAATTTCGGTTCAGTGAACCTACTACTGTTGTCATACTTGAAATAAGGGTAGTTTATCCATTCCATAACTGATCCCGCAAACATCCTACCCAAAGGGTTCATTCAGGTGATTATTTATTAAGCTAATAATCACTAAAGTAAATTACTTAAATGTTTATTCGATGTTCAACAGATTTCTAATCTGTAATTGATAGTATCGATTATAGTTATCAAATAAAATCAACGATTGGATAGTTGTTTCATTTTTTAGAAATATTAGATAAATATAAAAATATAAAATAAAATAAATGTCAACGAGATGTATATTGGAAAGACCTATAAGAAAAGAGAAACGAGCTTTGGAAGTAGAGGGAAGTAAACTCATGCTACTCTTGATGCTCTCAGATAAGATAATGAAATACCAGAACGTCTCTTGAATAACCCCACTGATTTCAAAAGTTGATATAAAATTCATCGTTGCAGCTAGAAGATTTTACTGCAAACCGTCAAAGTCTTAATTTATTTTCCACATATTATATTGCCATTTATCTCATTCATTTCGTCCATTTTATCATCATTAAATATATCTCATAAATTAAATCATTAAAAAAATAAATCCATATTATTTTTTCATAAATTTACTAAATATTCAATATGGGAATTATTTGATATTTTGTTCGATTAAACGAACAAAATGTCTTCATGACAATTCAAGAAAGAAAAAAAAATAGTTCTTTGTTTGCTTAAATAATTATTCCTTCGTTCTTTGACACGTTTATTTCTTTAAAATTCATTGCACACGTAAATTTCTTCATGTTCACCACCATTTTCTCGCTCATATAACCTCATTTACTATTTCCACGATAACCCTTCTATCCTCTCTCCACCTCTCATCACTCATTCTTTCGGCATACACGAGTGGTTGCTGTCTCTTTTTCCTACTAACACTCTACTAGTCTACTACCCTCGTTGTACCAGTATTTCATCCATGGATGAGATAAAACTAACTCAGTCTGCAATCTTTGGCGACGACGACTATGACAACGAAGAGAATACGACGTACGAGTACATTGGAAAACCCAACTCATTCGCTTGGTTGACTTTATGACGATGGCTCTACGAAATTATAGGAGAAAGGAGTGTACATCCTTCGAGTAATAAGCTCTGACTTTGTCCTTCATTTGACAAACAGACTATGTAGAACAATGCAGAATATAGTTTCCTCTGAAGACATTGTAGATATCTCTACATATTGTATATATATGCATACATTTTTCTTTCAATGTATATTGAAGTAATCTTGTAGGAGTTTTAAAATATGTATAATTCTGTCAACTTTTTAATTATATTTGTCTTAAACCATTCAATAATTAGCTTGAAAAATAATCGTAATTTTTCTCAAATTAAAAAAAAAAAATGTAATTTTTGTATTTATATATTTCCTTTATTAATGAACCAACATTTTTTGTTGGGTAGGAATTTGCTTTGGTGATTTAATTTCACAAATGAATGTAAAATATTGAAGAAATGTATATGACTATTAGTGGAAAATAAATATGTGATTGTTCGTGATATAGAATTTCATACAAAAACCAAGAGGGTGAATTATTTGTAATTGTACTTTTGTTGGATATAAAAAATATTTTTAATTAATTTTCCAATCAATTTGATTGAATTGGATGTAGATTAATAATTATCATTAGTTTACAAAACTGAACGAATAATTAAACTTACTCAAGTATACATTTAAAAATGATGTGCATTTTATTATTGATTACTGAATTTTTCAACGTCACTAAATTTTTGAAATAACAAACAATGATTATTAATCAAAATAAATTTTTTACACAAACAAAAACATTGGAAAATTAATTAAAATTTTTTGAATATGTATTTGGTATTTTTATTTGAGGAGAAAATACTTAATAATATTACATTTTCTGTGCCAAACTATTTTATTAGAGAAAATGGTGTCAAAATATTATATCTATTTTTTGGTCTCTATAGAAAAAAAAATTGTAAAATAAATAAAATTCGCAGCAACACTGGTTAGAATTTACATAGACACTGAATTTGTATATCAATTGCTGATAATTTAATTAAAAATAAATACCAGTCCGAAATTTTTTTTTTCGTCAGAAAATACGTACATATAGATATTTTATTTTCATCATCACGACGAAAGTTCATATGCCTAAATGTTTCTTTGTCTTACATAATTGAACCGTAATTTTTGATAATAAAAGAAACTGTTAATACGACTTTTGTCTGAAAAAATCGCAACTGTTGTTTCAATACTGAGGAGAAATTTTCTAAAACGTATTAGAGAAGTATTTTACGAGAGTTTCATGATTTGTATTGATATAGATTTAATATAATATTATACGTGTACATGATAATACCATCGTTTGTGCAAGAGTTGGTGTGAAAAGCATGAAACCAAAGTCTGCATATACCAACTACTTTGACGCGATCCGTGGCACCCGTATAACGACCTCGAGTCTCCAGTAGTCAGATGACAAGCATAGTTTCGCACCACGACGATGCTGTACACGTTGTCTCCTCTAAGTCTCTTGCCTCAGTCTACTTTGCGTACTGTTGTCACGTAGAATTGAGGAAAACAGGCAACCGCGACACAGTTCGCGAACTCCACGAGCAACAATATCCATACAGAATGCTTGGAGAAACAACAGACTATGCTCCCACAGGTATTCCTATACTTGGTTGCTTCTAATTTACCACGACCAGTGGACATAACCAATTTCTTTTGAGCTTTTTCATTCTGGACGTGCACAATAAGATATGCTATCAGTAAATTCACCAGGAGAAAGTCTCTCATCTCAACTTTTAACAAAAAATAATTAATAATTCAGCAAAAAAATATTAAAAGAAATAATTGTAAATTAAATTATTTAAATAAAAAATTTAAAATTCATTTTTTGTTTAAATATTGATGAATGATAATTGAAAATGCTTTGTGCAAAATGTAAGTAAGGTATAGGAGAACGAAAGTTTTCACTAAATAAAAAAAAAAAAAAATAATATTGTAAGGGGGAAAAAAAAAGAAATCGAGAGAAAATAAAATAATAATAAAGTACTGTAAGTGAATATACATAAAGGCGAAACAAGAAAGACTTGAAAAAACAAGAATATAAAGGTAAAGAATATAGAAAAATTCACAGAAAATTGAGCGCTAATTTACGAACGTTTATTCATTTTATTCTAGCTAAAAACTACCTCTTTCAAGATATTCTACATTCCAGATGAGATCATTTAATATATATATATATATATATATTTCCTTTACTCATGCTCTTGAATAATACAATATTTTATTGTAAATTGTTAGATAATCTTATCTACATGTTTACTTTGAAAATAAAAATTAAACTAGAAATGAAAAAATTATTCTCAAGTTCATTGAGAAGTCGAAATTATTATAAAAAAAGAATAAAAAAAGTATGATTATTAAACGTACTTGTTAAGATTCTAAAGGTGTAAAACAAGATGATGCATTTGGATATGAACATCTTAAAGTAAGGAGTTAATATTACCGATAAACATCCAAGTTAATTAACCCTTTAGAAGTTTAAATATGTATAATTAGTTTCAACTTACGCAGCAACGGAATAACACACGCTAGCGAACTCAAAGTTGACATGAAGTTTGAATAAAGTGATCGCACGAGTAAAAAGGATAGAGTAAGATTTTCTTGAGGATAAGGTAAATTATGAGCATGCGTGTCTAAACTGACACGCACAAAGGTGTCTTTAACTAACTCTTTTGCTCTCTTCAGTGTGAATAAATAAATGAGAAAGCTTGCTTTACCTTGTACGAAATCTTTGAAATATAATATATTTGATCTAGCCATAATGTGGAAGAAATTACTCAAAGTTCCATTAAAGTATTAGATTTTGGAAACCCTCATTTTCCTTAATAACAATTAATTGTACACCATAACAAATTTTCTAATAACTAATATTCAGAATTAATGTATCTAATGAATTTTATTAATAAAGTTTATCAAAGAATAATGCAGTTTGCTGTCAATCAATAACTCTTAATAAACACAAAAATATTCTGATGTTTTTTTTTCGAGATTTTTTTTCAAATTACTATTTAATTAGTAATTTTTGTCTGACTAAAATCAAATGATTCCACTTGAAAGCTATTTTAAAAAATATTTAAAGAAAACAAGTGAAATAATTTTATTTCAGTCAGACACGAAAGATATTTTTATAAAATCGAATGATCAATTAATGACAGTTATTTATATTTTAGGCAGACCAGGGACTGATTATCCAGTATTAGGAAAAGTGCCGTATACGAATTTTTATTGTGACGATCAGGAATATCCAGGTTTTTTTGCTGATGTAGAGACTCGATGTCAAGCTTGGCATTATTGTGACATTGATGGAAGACAAGCAACATTTTTATGTCCTAATGGTACACAATTTAGCCAAGCAGTGTTAGTATGTGATTGGTGGTTTAATGTGCAATGTGAACTCAGTTCGAAGCTTTATGCGATCAACGGTAGACTATATCAACGTCAAACTACTGAGAATCCTACTCGTCCCCATCGACTTATCACTAAGGAACTGCTGGAAAATATTTTCGCCAGGAGAAAATGAAAATTTATGTATTGTAAATGATAGGATAAGCATGGAAGTGAGAAAAACGAATTTTATCAATTGAAAAATAATTGTTAAGTAGATTAAAATGAATTAATAATGATTCTTCATAGAACCATCTATTTATTCATAGTCTCTAAGAAATAAAAACTTGTAAATATCTATAGCTTCGAACTTTCTAAAGTATGTATATGTTTTATCAAGTGATTGCACGTGTTTTTAGAACCTTTATGCAATATAACATTTTTTCGAAGCCATAAGATATAACTATTGAAACTTGAAAAAAGCTCTGATAGAACAGAAAATAAGTCATAAAAAATATAAGTGGAATACAATAAAACGAAGGCTTTTATTGTTTGATATAAAAAATTTCATTATTTTTTTTGTGCCGTATTTTTAGTTATCTTATTATACAGATAGTTAGAATAATATTTCTGACTCATTGTTCAACACTGCATCATGTGTGTTTTTATATTATATAATTGACATTTAGTGTTAGTCTTAAAAAAAATCTATTGAATGATTGATGATAATCAAAATTGAAAAATATATGTTAAATAATGAAAGACTACATTTAATACTGATTTTTATATTGTAATGATTAATTTATAATATTAAGATCTTGTAAGTATTGTTTATACGTGCCAAGTATAAGACATTATTTAATAATTGATGTATCTCTACATTAATACAAATAATTTTGACCCAATTCATTGTTTCATCATGAAAATAATAATCAATTATATTTTATTGATAATTATAATTAATTAGAAAATTTGAGAAGGAATAAAAAAATAATTGCAAGGAAGAAGTAATAAATGGAATGTTTTTGAATGAATATTAAAAAATGGTTGTAGAGGATGATACTTGAAGATGTTTGTTTTAAAAAAAAGATTAGTTGATTTAATGTACCGTGTTATGGGCAATTAAGATAAAAATAATAGAATAAATAAAAATTAAACAAGACTGTGCATTTCAGACGTGAGAATTGCAAGTCTCAGGTGGTAAAGGAAAATGGAGAAATAAAACTCAAGTCCAAGTACCTTCTATATTTCAAAAAGGCAACCATAAAATTTATCTGAAATGGCAATGAATTGTAGATTGACTGTTATAGAGAAAGACAAAGGCACATATATTACTTTTTGTATGTATGAAAAATATTTGTATATAATATTACTCAATATATAGAAATCTATCAACGAAACTAGGAAATAACTGCAACTATCGTATTGACCACTTTAGAAAATCCAATATCGGTTACCATTCTTATCTGCAATCCCTTTCCTAAATCAAGTTGCTAGGACTTGTAGGTATAAGAATTTCACACGACATTGCCAACTTTTATACTTTCTCATACTACTTAAAAACATTTCACATTTTCATTCTCTACTACGTTTTCTGTAGCTTTTTATTCCACATCTGGACAAGTTGATAGAAAATATTTTATCAATAATTCTTGACACTTCTTATGTTAAGCTTTGACGGCTTTTCTACGTCTGACTTGCAACGGGCGCTACTACTTGTATAGTAGCTGTGCCAGCTCAGTGGGAAATATTGTTGGAAAATTTTTGTGTTCGTTTAAGAGTTTCAAGTAACTTTCGTACAAATATAAAAATAAAAATATAAAAAAAGAAACCTCCGAATAATACTAAAAATAATAATAGGAATAATAAAAAGACAGGTAAAGTAATATAACTTTATCGTCCAATCATACTACGACGAATGTCATGCACAGGGCCTTAAAAGCTGAGGAAATAAAACCAAGTGACAAAGAAGAGTATACGACAGACCCATGTTCCAACTCGACACGTTTAATTATCTGTCGTTTAAGGGCTGCACTGCGAATTGAGCTGTAAAATTCGGTGGCATTTCTACTCTCTATGTGCATTATTCGTTTATGACCGCTTGAAAGTTTGACTTTATTTCCTTCAATACCATACTCTGCTATCCGACATCTTTACTATTACATAGCAAGCTGAATTTGCGGCCTTGTTTTATTGAAGTTTGGGTTTACACGTCAAACTATAATCTTAACGGAAAGCCATTATTTTACAGTTAGTTAATTGATTCTAAAATTAATAGACTATGACTGCATCAAACATTAAATGCAGTTGTGTTGAAATCATTCGTTGAATAAATGAAAACATTCTTAAGCTTTACGATTTTTTTAGAATTATATCAGATAATAAAATTTTTATTGCTCTAGTTAAAATTAAAGAATTTTTTATATTAAAATTATCATGAAATAAAAATTTATTTAATAAAATAAAAAATACTTTCATTTTTTAAATTATTTTTGGGAAAAAGAATTTTTACTAAAGAATATTTCTTATGCACATGAATGGCAATTGGATGAAAAAAATAATAAAGAGCCTTAGTTAACAATGTATTCAATACATCTAAAAATCAAAGGGGAGTCCAAAAACGGAATTGATTATGAGCTGATGAAACAAAGTCATTTGATTGTTTGTTTGTTAATAATTGGATGGTTAATTAAATAAACATGTTCAGAGAATAGATGAGCTGGATAAAGTTATAAGGTTAAAGGGGTGTGTTTTTGACGTAGTGATGCAATGCAATTTCTTTTTGAATAAAACCCCCCGGGGCATCACAGTATCAGACAACGGTTAATCAATGGACTTCTAGCGCAGTCCATATACAATCCAAACTCTGGAATTTAACACAACGAGAAATCATCCCTCCCCTGTCTTTCCTGCCGGGTTGATGGACAGCACTACGTCCGTATACGACTACAAAACTGGAAAAACTATTTTTACTCGCTCCAAGTCTGCAACTTGGTTTATGAGAATGCCGAAAATAATTCGTTCGTCGAAACGAATGTCATTAAAAACGTATAAGGGATGCACGGATGTAATTGGAACAAAATTTTAATCTTATTTTCTTTGATCAAAAGAATAAATAAATTTTCAATAACAACATCATTTTTGTATAAAATTTTTTAATAATTTTTTATTGAAATTAAAAACAAATAATTGAAATTTTATTAATAACTATATTGTAAATATCAATATATATTTTTTAGTAACTTGGCAATAAATAAAAACATTGAAGCTTATGTGCATTAGAAAAATGTATTTGACTTTAGAAAAGCAGTCTTTTTAAATCAATTATGATTATAGTTATTGTTATTATTATAAAAAATAGCATTTGAAAAAATTCACATACTAAGCCTTGAGGCACTTGTATTGCAGTTAATTTTAATTTTTAATATATTAAAATCTTTTTTTTTTCATTAATATACCATTTGTTGTAGTGCCAAGTACATTTGTATGTTTTCCATTCTATTAAAAAAAAATCTCATAACACACTCGTCCCGTCGGGTTTTTATTTAGATACATACACATATGGACATATTTATCCTCTGGTTGTCGAACGTTTGCATGTTAATTTTCAACGATGAGCCTCGAGGCATAGATATGAATGATATTCAGGAAAGAGAACAAGAATGAAAGAGACAGATGAAAAGAAGAGAGATAGAGATAAAGATAGAGTTCGAATATATTGAATTGAATTTAATTTACGATTGACAAAATATCTACATGTATATATAAAATAGAAAACAAAAATATCAAGATAAATTATTATTTGGTTTAATAGTTGAATTCTTTTTTTCAACAAAGTTTCTAGTATGACATTTACGTCTAGGTATATTATAGTAACATAACAAATTTGTTTTATAGTTGAAAAAAATATTTCGGATGTATATTTTTTACTATCAATTTATCGAAAAAATGTTTTTTCAGTCAATCAACAAAGTTTACGTTTATTGACTTTATTTTTTTCAATTAACCACCGTCGTTTCTCTTAAATTTTAGATTCATAAAATTTTTTGTATTATTCATTCGATTAGTTTATGAATCTCGTTAATAAATCATCAAATTTCACATTAAATTTGCATTACGTAATTAGGCCAGTTTATTAAACAACATTCTTGTATGAAATGAATTTTTTAAAAAATCATCACGAAATTCATATTGTTTTCGAAGAGTCAACGATATTTAACTAACTTTCTTCGCTGATTTTCAATGTTAATTGGGAAGAATAAATAATTAATACAGAATTGAAAGAATTAATTAAGTCAAGTATCTGCTAATTTGATCAAAACCAACCTTCACAAGATAAACATCGAGTGTCTTACATTGGAAAGGAATATAAAAATAAGGAGAAATCTTGTCAGACAAGTTCTTTTCAAGATTTTTTACAAATACTGACATTGGACAGCCTTGAAATTTACTTAATTCACGCTTAACGAAAGCGATAAAATTAATTAGCTATGATTATTTAACATTAAAAGAGCTGTTTTCACTGCTATTGTTGTATTGAAAGCCGCATAGGAAAATAAATCAATATGAAATAAAAATAAGAAAATTTTTTTAGGTAATTACATGTCAACCTTAGTGTAGCAATAAATTTCTCTAGTGATTTTGCTTCGCTCTTGTGGACTTTTAGAATTATTCACAAGCTATTAGTGTCTCTTGAGATTTTTTTTACAGTTGACGAAGTGGAAAATTTCACGCTCAATATCAATATACGGCATATAAATAAAAAAAATGAAAAAAAAACCCTATTGTTAAAAAGTAGTGGATATAGACAATAAATAAGCGCTAACAATAAAAGTGTTGGCGGTATACGGAACTGCATTGAAAAATATCTCGTGCAATAATAATATTGATAAAAACTCTTGTTTGTATGATAAAATAATCATATACTCTAACGTAGATTGATTACAGGTGTTATAACTTTAATTTAGGTAAACATATTAGTCTTTTTTTCTGTTAGTTGTGTTTCCTGATTACCTTCGGTAAATATCAGCCACAACTGATCAATGGTTTTCCAGTGTATTTATAAATGAGTAACAGGATAGTGCAGTATTAAAGTTGAAATGTAAATTGAAAACAAATTTTTTTTATATGCATTTAAAATTAATTTGAGTACTTTCACTTTGGTACAGAAATTATTTTTTGTAAAAGAAAAAAGCGAATTTAAAAATATTCAAACTAATTAAGCTGGAATGTTTTTTTTTTAATGATAAAAATGTATAGAGTGTTGATGAATCGAAAAAAAAACTTTTTTTTAAACTTATTAATTATCATCAAGATAAATATGAGAATTAAGATTTCAATCATGTTTCATAGCAATTAGAGTACATCATTAGAAAAAAAATATCCAACGAAAAATGACTGATTGTCCGTCTTTTAATTTATGTTAAACTTCTCTAAATATCTATGATCCTTATAACAAATTTTTACTTCATATTTTCTCAGAGTACATATTCCATGTAAAACGCTGTAAATTGAATAAAGTAAGCTGCATGAGCTTTTTACTGACGCTTAATAAAAAACGGGTATATGGAAAAAAATTCTATAAAATAACATTTTTTTTAATTTCCTTCAGAGTCGAGACGAGGAGTATTTTTCCTGTGTAAAGGAATCAGTCCATAACCCATGCATAAGAGCAAGAGTAACAGAATGAATAAGGAAATAGTTAAGCAAATTTCATTAAGTACGCGAAAGATGTGCGTTGATTATTTCGCTAAACGTGGGTGCATGTATTAAGTAACGAGGCAGGTATATGTACATGTTGCTTTGGCGTTAGTTGATGCCACAAACACAAAGTACATATAGAAGCATACAATATACACTAATATATAGAATGTACAGATGAAGTGATGAGACAACGAACAAGAGAGATAACAAGGAAAGACGAAAGAGGAAATGATAGAGATGGAGATAGAGACAGTGAAAGAGAGAACAGCGAAATCACAGAAACACGTGTTCTGTACGGACTCGACGTGCACACAGCGTTTGAATGCGATTAAGCCACTGGAGCAGTATATAGCAACGCAACAGCGCTACCAATACCCCTAGAGCTGTAGAACCCCAAAGCGCTTGAGCTCTTTGCAGCTATTAACTATCGAAGCAGCTCGGTTACTGCTTTGCAGAGGGGCGAAAGCATAGCGCGAAATGCAACGGGTATTATTTCGTTACATTGCACACGTATCACCCAGCAAAGGATCGTTTTATCACAAACCTTCCGCCCCGATGACCTTATCTGTAACTAGCCAATACACTCAGAACGTTTGTTAAAGCAAATATGTTTAGCCGTCTGTGGTTAAACAGAGAGAAAGAAAGAATGAAAGAAAGAAATAAAATGAGAAAAATTAAAGGTAAAAATAATTTATTC